CGCCTGGACAGCTTCGAGGCGGGCGCGGCGGCCGAGGTCTCGTCGGAGGAGCGAGGTGGGCGCGGGGGCCGGGGGGCCCGGAGGCGGGTAACCGGTCCTGGGGTGGGGTAGCGGGCGAAACGCCCAGTTCGCAGATGGGAGAGCCCAAATCCCAAAAGCTAACGTACTGTGTCTGGTTTGCAAAACGTGAACACATACACACCCCGATTCTTCCGAGTTAATTGGAAGTGACTCCGGTTAAGGAAACGGTGTTGCCCACCTCCTCTGGGTAGACAGGAGTGGACAGAGAGGGGGGTCAGGAGCCAGGGGAACCTGCCCCGCTGCTTTTGGTTTCATTCTGCCTCTGGGAATGCCCCAGCTGACCCTTTACCGCCGTGTGAGCGCCGGAAAATGGCTCTTGGGCAGGGGTTTAGTGCCCCGGACACTTCACGTACTTAATTTTCGCAGTAGCCCCAGCAGTTAGGTACTGCCGTCTGGTCCTATTCCGGTCTTACAAGCCAGAGGACAGTGCTGGGACGCGTTAAGTGACTTGCCTAAGACGCACTGCCAATACCTACCAAGGACTCAACTGAGGCGGCCTGGGGTACGCGGTTGGTATTAGAAGTCGGTTTCCAAGGACATTCAGTTGAGGAGGAGATCGTTAACCTGATACATTTAAGAAGCAGTCCCCAAAATACAGGTGATCACATTTTAGATTTACGTGTGTCCGTGTTTGTATGTATGTTGCAGGAGAGCGCGCCAGAGGTGAGCAGGTGTGGGTGGGCAGGTTGACACGGGGTGACTCTTCGTCTTTCGAGGATGACAGTGTAGCCTAGCGGTTGGGAGTGGACCCTGGCACAAGGCCATCAGGGTTTCACTGTCTGGCTGTGCTGTAGTCTAGCTGTATGACCTCAGGAAAATCACTGGGCTTCCCTGTGCCTCAGTTTCCTCATCTGCACCAGGAGCGCCCACCTCCCGGGGCTGGAAGAGGCGACGCACGAGCTGCCAGCATCTTGAGGGCTCGTAGCTAAAGACACACATTCGCAGGGGCCTCCGAGCAGCGTTTTGTCCCTCCTCTGCTCACCCTCCATTCCCAAAACAGCCTCTGGCCTGTAGTGGCCCCGCTTGCTCGTCTCTGAAAAGCAGTGACTTTTCAGCAGATGAGGACAGGGTAGCCAGGGACCAAAGACTGGTGGTCAGTCCGGGCAGCTTCCAAAATAAGAACTGGGTTGTCTCCGTTCCCCCGCGGCTGACATACACACGACCACAACTTGGGGCCTTGAATAGCAGGAAGCAGATTCCCTCCCAGAGGGGAGCCAGGAGTCAGAAATCCAGGTGTCAGCAGGGCCAGGCTTCCTCGGAGGTTCCAAGGTCCTTCCCCCTTCTCCAGCTTCTGGGGGCTGCGGACATTCATTCTTTGGCTTATGGCCACGTCTCTCCAGTCTCTGCCTCCGTGGGCACGTGGCTCCCTCTTCTGTGTACTTACAAGGATTCCTGTCACTGGATTTGGGGCCTACCTGGATAATCCAGGATGATCTCCCAAGATCCTCAACCGAATCACATCTGCAAAGACCCTTTTCCAAATAAATTACCGTTCACAGTTCTGGGGATTTGACATGACCCGAGGGCCACCATTCAACCCACGACAGGCCCTCCCTCCGCTTCCCCTGTCCCGAGCAGTTAGCTCCACGACGACCCCTTCCACGACGCCCCAGCCAGCACGTCTTTGGCAGGCCGCACCTCCTGAGTAGCGGTTTGGGACAGGGTTGGAGGCCACCCTTGGGCTTTCCGGGACGTTCTTCCCCCGGCCCCTCCACTCCTGGATGCCTTCAGCCTGCACGAGAGGACCTCTTGTCTACCCAGTGCTTAGGTTAGCCCTGAGGAGCCCACTGAGAAGGTAGGGTTACCTGTCTTCTAAAGGGCTCCCCAACTCCTGGTAAATCGTTTTGTTCTTTCCACAGACCTGCGTGCAGCGTTCGACATCATATGTGACCACGTGGGGAAGGACTGGAGAAGGCTGGCCCGCCAGCTTCGAGTGTCTGACGCCATGATCGATGCCATCGAGGAGAAGTATCCCCGCAATCTGACAGAGCAGGTGAGGGAGTCGCTGAGAGTCTGGAAGAACATCCACAAGGAGGACCCGGCTGTGTCCCACCTGGTGAGGGCGCTCAGGGCCTGCCAGCTGAACCTGGTGGCCGACCTCATCGAGGACGATCAGCAGGCCCGGAGCCTCGAGAGCGAGACCAGTCGAGGTGGCGGCACCGGCACCGTGTCCCTGACGTCACGGGACTCAGATAGGCCGTCCTCGGGAGTCCCCTGGTGACCCAGCGGCTCTTCCCCGGGGGCCTGGGGGCATCGGCACAGCCCGAACTTTGGTTCCCCCGCCAAGCTTGACCACGTGCCTTCCGCGTGCCAGTGCCGTGAAGTCCTAGCCGCGAGCCGGGACGAGGGACCCAGCGCTCAAGGCCCAGAGTGGCGTCTCCATCAGAGCTGGCATTCACTGAGCATTTGCTCTGTGCCAGACGGGACTTGGGCGCGTACAGATGCTTTCATTCGTTCCTTGTGATCGCCCCAGAGAGGGGGAGTCTGTTGTCCCATTAAATGAGGCCCTGCGGGAGGAAGTTTGGGATCCACATCCAGCACACAGAGGGACATAAAAGTCAGCGTTATCACTGTCGTCACCATACGGGTGGGGGGACAGTGCCGAGGCCAGCGGCCGGGCGGTCGGCAGCCGTGGGAAAGCAGGGAGTTGAGCCGGGGCCATGAGGCTCCAGCGTCCACACGGGCCCACAGGGTCATTCTGTTGCTCCCAGAGCCAGCCAGAGGCTTTGAGGCCGTCAGCGTAGACCCGTGTACCCGGACAGGTGGCGTGGGGAAAGCTGGTGGGCTCGTGGCCCTTGCGTGTGTCAAGGGACAGCAAGGCTTATGAGGACGGCCGGGAATAACACTGTTAAGTGCTCAGGGGTGATTGGTACAGAGTCTGTGCTCTACAGATGTTAGTTCTTAGAAGTATTATGACTTCAAAATCATGACTATCAAAATCACTGTTCTGATAATGGATTTTAGTAAGGGAGCTGGATCCTGTAATTGTAAAGAGCAGTCTTTGTGCTTCGGAGGTAATCCTCTTAAAGCCTGTGCCTGTACAGTGAGAAGCTGCACAATACAGAGAATTTCCCTCCCTGATGATGATCTCATTTCTCATGTTCTCGAAAGTCCCGTCGGGTCAGTTTCAATACCTCTTGTGGCTTATCTGAGGCTGAACTGGGAACAGCATGGCCGCTCTTCATAACGGTTCCAGGAGCCGCCAGCAAGGGAGCTTTTGCCACCTCTCGCCAGCCCCTGGCCCGCCTGTCTCTGAGAGGCACCAGAGAGTCGCGGGGCTGTCCCTCGTTCGGGCCTTCTGGCCACGGCCTTGAGAAAGCCACCCGTGATGTCCTTCCGTGCCACCTTGACCTTAGGCTGGACGAGGCGGCCCGCTCGGCAGACCGCGGACACCTGGCCGGGAGCACAGGCGTTAACCAGTTCACGGGTTCGGGCGCTGCCAGGGGGCTGAGCCAGTCTGGGGCCCGTGCCACCGCGGCCTGGCCCTGCATCGTGTGCCGGGCGTGTGCCCCACGTGCCAGCATGCCTGCGTCTCGGAGAGCCTGTGTCAGAGCGGGTTCTGCGGGTAACAGACGTCGTCACGGCCCGTAACTGTCGGCGGCTTTGCTGACGAGTAGCTTTGGGCAACAGGTTTTCCGGAAAATGTGCCCCTACCTGTAGGACAGGCGGACTTCAGAGGTCCTCCGTCCCCTCAAAGCCGCTGAAATGTGCAAGTTCCCAGACCCCCTAACATCCACCCTGTGCCCCCCTACGCGCCTCCCACCCCTGGAAGGAGCCCCCGACCCTCCACACCAGGTGCGCTGATAGGGGCCTTGACCTGTGATTCCCGCACGGGGAATTTTCCGCGGCTCTGCCGCCGCGTCCCGTCTCAGTCCCGCGCGTGGCGAGTCACCAGGGTGCCCCCGGCACCCCTGTGCATGTGGTGAGTGGGGAGGAGCACGTCGCGGGACCTCCTCTCCAGGCCCGGATCTGAGCTCCGAGACTCGGGAAGACGGCGGGTGAGGAGAGTCTCCGTCCTGCTCTGCGGGGCCGTGCGCGCCACCCGCTCCCCAGGACCCGCCAGCTGGGTGCCGCCGGGGCGGAGCCCTGGGGCCCGGTGACAGGGGTGAACCTGCCCGACAAGCTGCCCCCGGGAGATGGTAGCTCGAGGCCAGACGGAAGCACGGGTCCCGCGTCGGTGGCCAGGAGGCCCCGCTGAAACCAGTGCGGGGCCGGGCATCGAGGGGCCACGGCAGGGCCAGCAGCCTGCCCGCGGGTCCCCTGCCTCGCGGGACGAAGGAAGAGTGTGTGGCTTGCAGCAGAAGCACAGGGCTGGTGTGGGCGCCGTGGGCGGGGAGACCCACGGCAGACGTTTGAGAACAGTGGTTTTTTGGGTGATATTTAGACTTCCTGTATCGTCCACATTTTCTGTACTTGTGTTTTCGTCATCCACCAGGTACAGGTAACTGGTGTGCCCTGGGCCGTTAGGCGGGAGAGGCCCCAGAGAGCAGGGGAGCAGGGGGGCTTTCCAGTCTGACCCGGCTCGGGTCCCGGCCTCACCACCTTCAGAAGCGACCGCTAGATAAGTATCAGGCGCTTGCCCAAGTGCGTGGCAGCTTCTTCCTCAGGCACCTTAAACGTGAGCGGTTGACATTTCACCCAGAGCCCCACAGGTTTGTCGAGAGGCTCTTCCGGTCCTTGTGACCTCACTGCACTTGAGGCCGGCCTGTGGCCTCTGGTCCTGGGATGTCTTTCCACCCCCCCCCCCCC